CCATGAGTAGTTAACCAAAAAATTGCAAGAAATTCAGAAAATTTTCTTTCACGTCAAATTTTGTAGAGCTTTTTCGTTGATCATTTTGGTAACAAAAAAAATCGAATTTCATTGAGAAATGACGATGTTATAGATAAAATACAAAACACTGTTAAAACATAAGTAAAAGTCAATTCACATATCTCAAAATGACTATATTGTGGAGAAATGTGACATAGTAGGTTTTGTAGAGGAAACTTTGCTCTACAAAATTCTATAGTCGGTTTCTAAGAGACAGGTAAATAGGATGAATAAATCTCAATTAAACATTGTATACGATATTTCTATAAAAAAATCTGACATATTCTGTTTTTACGATAAATTCGAAAAGTTTTTTTTTTACCAAAATGATGATCAGCGAAAAAAGTCCTACAAAGATGAATATGAAAGAAAATTTTCTGAATGCTTTGTGATTTTTTGGTTGACTACTCACGAAACTACCTTGCAGTATTCAGTACGAAAAATTATGTATTTCAATGTTGTTGATGTATTTCACCACTGATTTTAGCTAGAAAACTGAAACTTTCAGAAATAGAACATGATGAGTAGATGTATATGTGATAAAATTTTTACCTCTCTAGGTAAACAAAAAGTGTAAAAAAACATAAAAAACAATTTATCGTCAGTGATTATGGAATAACTTTACGTGTCTTCACTAATCGGTAGCTAGGTTAAACTGTCTTACTTTAGCGGACGAATCGTCTTGGTTGTTTTTTACGGTGTTTGTTATGAATGAAAAACAAAATTAAGGCAAAAAGAAAAAACAAAGGCATTCATCATCGTCTAGTATGTCGATATGAATGTTATTCTCATCGACGGCAATCAGAGCATCAAAATATTATATATATATAAATAGAGTGACAAACAGAAAAATAATACGGTTGAAGTGAATAGATTTATTATTAAAGATGAACATTGTAACTAACAACCATATTAATATACTCGATTTGCTAGATGAGAATTGTTTAGCACTCGATTCTTTCTACATTCATCATCTCGATTTTGTGATCAAGCCATTGTTTGATCGTAACTCGTCGGTAGATAATCAGCTTCTTGATAGAATTTACACCAACATGTTACCTTGAATTTATCATAAAGTCAATAAACTCACTGTGGAACCACTTTCTATAGAATGTGTTCTTAATACTGTTCATTATTCTCAACTTCATTCCATATCATTTGTCAATTTTTATTATGAAACACTTTTACAACATTTACAATGTATAATTATTATTTTATCTAATATGAATGACTGATGTTTTTTTTACATTTAAGGTGATACTAGAGTTCGTCTTCTTACTAATCAAATAACATATCTTCATATTTATATTAGTGAAAATACAGCAGCATTTCCTGAGAGAAATAAATTAAGCATGTTAGTATTGATACTATCTATGGGTAAACATCTAAGTGATTTCACCTTTATGAAATGGTTATTAGAGTCAACTATAAAGATTTCGCCTTTTAATTTACTATCAACAAGTTTGAAATCTTCATCTTTAAGTAAATTAACAATTGACATAGATGATTTTGATGAATGCCTATCTTCTTGATAGACGTCTTGAATGTTTGTGTACATTAATTGTATACATATCTGAAATTACCAATTCTTCATTAAATATAAATAATACAGTAAGTATAAATGCGATCTTTCTATATTAATAAATCTGTTTTTGAAATTTCATGATGGTTTTGTTATTTTTAGAAAAAACTTCCAAAATTGAAATGTTTCTCACTGAGATTGGATTGGTATACATCTTGTTATGACAATAAAATTGTTCCATTACTTCGTCGAATGTTAAATCTTGAAGAATTAACATTATTTATTTCGGTAATAAGAACTGAATCAACTTATATTAATGGTAAACAATTATACGATGAAGTTCTTATTCATATGCCACGATTAAATAAATTTACTTTCATTATACACTCATGTTACCAACAATGACATTAAAATTGACCTTCCATCGAATGATGACATTCGAAATAGTTTCGTCAAAACATGTTATCAACAAGTTGATTCATTTGCTGATGACAAACTCATGAATAACAGAGGCAAGTGTCATGTCTATTCATTACTATGTCAATTCAATAGTTTTATGTTTATGAACAATGTTTTGGAAGGTGGTGGATTCGATAAAGCTCGATGTTTGATAGATGTCTAATTGAATATGAATTATTTAAAAGCATATCTCGAGATTTTCCTTTTCTCGAAAAATTAACATTTCGTAATAGTAAACCATAGCAAAGTAAACAACAACAATCATCTACATTTATTACATTTGTTCAAACTTGATCTTCATTCGGCACATATTGATTATATCGTACAATTTCTCTTTGATAGAAAAACTCTTCTACGTCGTTTAACGGATCTGTACATTAAATATAAACCATTAGTAACTATGGCCGACTATTTTATCAATGAAGCAACACGTCTCAATTGTGCTAAAATAGAAAATGTTTTTATAAACGAGCCATTTGTTCGGTCGGAAAAATTTTCACTCGTATTTTCCTTTGTTATAAAAATTGTGGTAGTGTCAAATAATTTCGAAAATAAAAAATCTTGAATGAAAAATGTAGAATAAAATAATCTCAAATACTACATAGTAATTGTTATCAGAGACGAAATTAATTAACAAAATTTTATTAAGAATCAAATACATACAGAAATAGATATTGATTGACGAAAAGCAAAGAAA